TGTCAGGACGCAAATGAGAAGGAGCAACTTGTTGATAGCCACATAGCCATATAACTTCAAATGCCGCAATGTTCGTTTGACCTTATGAAACGAGAATTGCTCGGTACACGGTTATTCCGGAGGTAGAGAGCGCCCAGCTTTTCCCGCATCCATATGGATTAATCGGTTTTTCAGTAAAACCCAGATACAGGGGCAGTGAAAAAAAATGTTTTTCATCTTTATACAAAAAATGTATTACTTATTCTCATTGTTGAATTATTGTCATAACTTTTAAAGTAAAATTTCTGTTTATATTTTATTAAGTGTCCATTTAAAATAAAATCTCGATTAATTATTTAACTAACAACTAACAAACAAAGTTTTTTAATCTGTAAAAATGAGGATATATATTTTTCTCTAAACGATGGATTATTTTAGGAACTTTGTTTAAAATATTTATAGCCCAGACTACATTAATATGGGAGTTCTAATTAACTTTAATAAATCAAATACGTATCACCTATATGAAATTTTGTAAACGTTCCCAAACAATAGCCGAATTATTTACTGATCAATTAACTTAAAACCTACATAGACACAGAGCAGCGTTTTACACCACATAAAAATCACTTTTTTAACCTAATTTGCATCAATTCTTTGAACTGGACGGCAAAAAGTTAATTTCGAATCGACATTACTGCTGTTTTATTTAGGTATTAAACGAACCCCGAACTAGGCTCCGTATTGCGAACCCCTTTAGGGGTTTTCAACAAGCCATTCGGTTTGAATAGAAAAGTAATCGACGTCGGCTCAACACTTCAATACCGCAGAGAACAGTAAATCCGTTGCGGAGTTTAAATATTTCACGGTTCCGACTACATGAAAGTAATAGTTTATGAATCGGAATTATTGCTGACATTGTTGGTGGAGTTACATTGTGTACCGCTGATCCGCAGTATAGATTAAAATGGAAAAGTGAAAAAGGAACAGAGCTTCCAACAATATTCGTCGACCTTTAAGTGAGTTTGCATTAAAATTTTATTAAATTAAGATTGTTATCTTTAATTAAATTTGAATCTAACAATAAGCTTGTTTTCTATTAACTTCCGCAGACGTTATAATCTTCGACTTATTGATGAATATTAAATTTTAATTAACTGAAAGCACAATTTCATATAAAACATATCAGATTCTGTCGTTGTTGGCATGATGAGCTGGGGTTGCAATGTGTAGGTGCAATTATTATCTAATAATTTCTCAGCAATAGCATAACTATGAAATTACCGGTAAATTTCATTAACAATTTTATTATAATGGAATAATCTTCCTAGAGTCTACCGAATTGTATTGAAAGGAGTTGTTAATAATATGAATTCTATTTTTATCTTAGTGTAGATTGGTAACTTTCCTATTTTGGTGAATTTTTTATACCTTTTTAGGTCCATATAATCTAATATATCAGTATGGGATTCGTCAGATAAATAAACAGCGGATTTTTGTTAGGAGCGTGGGTTTACCTGATGATTGAAGAGCAACTCAAATTGGCCAAAAGTAGGTCATTCCAAGTCAAAGTAAACTTTGTTAGATTTCCCGGAGTCCCGTAATGGGAAAAATACGTAAACATTGGTATTGAGAGAGTTCTCAATAGGCAAAAATAAGTATCCAGAATGAGACAAATATGAAGTATTTACTGATACCTGTATATCCAAGAGTCCTTAATATATCAAAACTAGTCGCCTATCAAATCGATTCGAAAATAAAAATTCAAATCGTCGAAATGCAAAAGAGCTTCGATCAGCGTAGGCCGTATTGACTCGAATTCCTAACGAGTCGTTTTCGAAATGTCGAGCCCTATCAGTACGACATTACATCATTTTCACGTGCGTTGTACCGGGAATTTTAAACGGCAATTGTATAGAAAATCGAATCGTCGCTTCCGGCAAACGCGCTTCAATTTTTGCAGAAACTTTGAGCACATTTTTCACAAAGCGAACTGTGCGCATTCCATAAAGGGATCGAACGAAAAAACGATAAAAAGAGTTAATCGAGTTGGTAACTATATGTATATCTATCAAGCGTAGTGTAGTGTCGATGTGGAAGCGGATGTAATTTGCGCGCAATATGCTGCACATGGTGAAATTTCCAACTTTGACCGCGAGGTATTTTAATGTGCAACACGAGTAGTTTATTTAAGAGATGTAAGTTAGGAGTGCTGTTAATATTTAATGGCATTATCTTGTTGAAGGGCCTTTAAGAGGAGTTTGTTGAAGCCGGTAAATCCCTTTGAAATCAAATGCGGTGGACGTATGTTGAACACATTGAAAGTTTGAGCCCTGCGGGAATGAGGAAAGGTTTGCTAAGTGTAGTCAAACGTAGAGGGCATATACAAAACTATAGACGTTTAACCATCATCAAATTTCTAACAGACCAGTTCGAACGTGTAATCGGCTGCGATCGTGCCTACTATAGGATTAATTTGCATTAATTACACCGCCACTAAAAATGCCACACTGTTCGCTCTCTATTCTATCGTCTCATCGGAAATATTCCGCCGTAAACAAACGATCTCTTCCATTGTTGAGCGGCTTTCCTTTTCAATTTCGAACTTTTCCATCCATCTTCGCGATTCGAACGGCATTTTTCTCATATCGACGTTTGTTATTCAAATCCGTTCGACCTTTCCGCAACAACAATCCGGTTTTTCAGTAAACCAAGATCCATTTCGCGGGAAACTTTGTCTTTGCATGAGTAAACGCGCGCTCGGGGGATCTTCTAGTCGGCCTAAACGATGATATACGTTGCGTTATGGTGATGCACAAAATGAATGTTAATTATTCATGGATATCTAGAGGGAAGACGTACATGAGAGTTGAGTGTTAGATTTCGAAAAACCGATATCGTGGATGTTACTAAGTTCACATGTCCTTGGTAAATAGGACTTACATTAGTAATGAGGACGTACGTCCATCAATAATAATTTATTGAAAGGCGTCAGTAACCCGTTGAAGTCGGTCGATATTTGTAGAAATAACTAATATAAATTAATAAATAATATTGTACCTACGTTTTTTGAGACTTTGGCAATATTACCAATTTTTGTAATAAAACCGATCTTCGATGCATGATTCTTTACCATCAAGTTTGAATGTACAATTATTTATGAAATAAATTATTATGCGAAAATCGGTTAGGAAAAAAGGGACTGGGGTAGTTAATATTCATCGAAAAATTACCAGTTTCCCGTTGGAGTTTTTAATTAATGATAAATATATTTCCGAGACGCCCGAATGAAATTAATTATCGTTCGAAAAAGTTTACATCGAGCTCTTCCTACATCGCGCCCTTGAGTTATAAATGTAGGTCAGGGCGAGCCCGGCGATATTTGTAATGCTTTAAAACATTGTTAAGTCAATTAAAATAAAGAACCGTTTAACTAGGTATACATAATAAATTAGAACGTAGGTGTTTCAAACAGATTGAGACTGTTAGAATATTGTCGTTTTAGAGTAATTTCGGTTCTCTTTGAAGTGTTGTTGTACAAACGCTGAATCTTCGACTCATTAGTAATATGTAATATTACGTGTAGGTGTACGTATACACCATTTGATCAATTTGGAGGTCTCTCGCTCGAAATCGCAAATCGCAATAGCTTCTCACACACTTCATCATCCTCATTGTTCCTCCTCCATTGTGTACCTATTCGATTGTTAACGTCTTTTCATTATAGGCCGCACTTAATCGCTTTAGTTAAGTTATTCGTCCTGCGTTGTGTTAACGAAGTTAAACTTTCCGCGAACTCACACCCGCTTCGAATTAATCAAACAAGAGCCCGAAGTTTAGTAAAAGCACCGGCGAGGCTTTCGACCGGCGCTGTTACTTTAAATTTCTTAACAATATGCCCGACCGGTTGAATCGGGCGGCGCTCTCGTGACGCGTTAACCAGCTTTTTTAATGCATCAATTTTCTTCGCCAGTAGTTTAGCATCTCATTAATAACTTTTCCGTATAAGGGTAAATTATACGAATTAATCTTTCGACTTTTGAACTTCTCGAATCGGCTCGACAGCGCGCGCCTAGCGGGAATGTTCATCAAATTCATCGCGAGATCGATGTTGCGAGATTATTTAACTTCGCAGAGACAAGACTTTCTTCTAGCGCTAGAACTAACTCTTCGGTTATTTATGGGATCTTTGTTGAATCGCTATAAATAACGCCCGGAGGAAGTCGATTTCTGCCCGACCTCCAAACGTACCTTTAGGAGATTCGCGGGGTTTGTATCGGGAGATAATGAAATCTTGAAAGTTCCCTCAAAACTTGAACTTCTCCGTGTATTACGAAACTAACTTAATGACTGAGCGTTGCTTGCACTAACCTTAATGATACTAACTAATGAAAATATGTGCACGGTACGATAGAAATAGCTGCAGACGTGACCTGCGCAACGATTAAATACTGAAAAAGCTACACACTTAAAAGATCCCGATGCGACGGTTAAATGCCAGCTTTTTAATAATACATCAATACTCTAATCTCGGTTCGAAAGTGCCTTAAGTTTGTCCTTTACTTTCGAGTGCTCCTCCTAATCTTAAGTTTTCCGTTCCCTATGGGGATTCTCTCGCTAACGCAAACATTTTACCGGGAACTGATTATGGAGCGAAACTTTTAGCTGCCGCGCAAAAATCTCTTGATTATAATCGCTCCATTCGAACTCGGCCACAAAATTCAATGAGCTACGCGTTCGCGGCAAATGAAAAGATATAAAACGCCCGCAAAGTGCCGGAGCAACCAAAGCGATAAAGCTCCTCTTATTTTATAGTAACAGCGGTGTAATATTTTTAGTTTCACTTACATTTTTTTTCAATAATCTTGAATATAGGAAAAATAAATTACAATGTTGCAACGGCGTAATTTTAGATTGTCTTTCTTGGAATGTATTGTACAAAATATTCCGGGATTACTATTACTACTACTAACGAATACTATTTTAAATTAGTCCCCAATTAATCAATTCCCAGTTAATTTATGAGAGGTGAAAACCTTGAACCCGGGCAGAGGGCTTTCGGTGAGTGCGAACCGCCGGCACTAGGAGGACACTAATCCCGAATATTACGCGAAATCGAGCCCCCTAATTGCTGGGAGGATCCGGATTTACGGTGTGCCTTTAATCCCGGCGGAAAGGCGGCGAAATCATTTTTCACACGTTGACGAAAGTAAGATATTAGATTAAAGAACGGGGAGCACTATGAGCGAGTTCGAGTGCGATGGAATCATGAATAACGAAGAACTTTCATCCGGCTACGAACTCACTGGAGTCCCTTCTGAAAAGGGATTTGTTAATTTGACGCGTGAAAATGGCGCTCTCTCCCTCTTTTGTTTATCACCAGATTTGTGTAATTGATTTATGAGTTTTCTGAGGGTGTAATGTCCTAATTTCGAGGAGAATTTGTAAAATGTGTTAGTAATTATTATACATAAGAGGGCTTAATAAGAATGTACACAAAATAGGAGTGTACCTACCTAAATTTTACACATTTTTAAAATGAAGAAATATTGAATATTTTCAAAGGATTTATTGATGATTTGTTCAAGGTTCTTGAGGACTTCCTGAATTACACAACATTTTTAATGAATAGATGTTTACAGTATTTGATAAAGAAGTTTTTTGATTGCATTTTTGCTATAGTTTTGCAATTCAAATTTTGCAAAAAAACAGGATTATATAGAATTCTTCTTAGTAGACATTTTTTAAAACTTCCTCCGACAAAACAAAGTTAAGTACAGCAAAAATCTGAATATTTTTATCACTACGCAATCGACCATCGCAGATCCAGCTATTCCCCCCGATCTGTAACCAAATCCAACGTCACCCGCATGCATACGAAACGAGAATATACCCCCTAAACGGCCTCGTCGTCTTCGGTTATGCGGTCCTGAAAAAATAGTGGCCGCGCGTCCGGGATGTGCGGGCCCTCGGCGGCGCGATGAATGGCGAGCCGGTGGGCCGGCGCGGCGGGGCCCGGGGGCCGGGCGGGCCGGGAGGCGGTCAGAAGGATACGGCGGCGGCGGTGCTGTTGATACCGATGACGTCGGCGACGCGCCAGTAAATGGCGCTACAAGAAACACCTGAAGAGCGGTTTGTGGAAGACGCATAGCGGTTTATTTTTAGACATAATGGATGCGTATATGCCGCCCGATTTTTTTTGTATATATGCTCGTTTTCTTTGTAATAAAATAAAATTAATTTGATTGCGATGTGTATGTACGTGCGTTTGGTATTAAATTTCCCAAGTAATGTCATTACTACTCATTATGTGGATAGATAGCTCTAAATTACTATAATGAATATATCTAATAGGTATTTATTAACAATGTTTGTTTAGTATCGATATAAATAATAATAGTAGTACATAATTCGAAAAACAACGGTTTTAATGAAAGGTAATAATGCGCACACAAAGGGGGCTTTCGAATACATGATAAATTAAAACCGCTATTTGAATTTCGAAATTATTGGACAATGCATCAGTATAAAAATTCTATTGGGTATCGTTCGCAAAGGGAGTGTGTTTGGTCTATTAAATTCCTGCAAGCCGTTTAACGAATCAAACGATTCGGAATACGGTGTGACCAACATCCAATTAACCTAAAGCACTTGAAACCCTAACCCTTTAATGCCGACCAGCCATTACCTAATGGATATCACAGATTGATACTAATTGCTCTTTTGGGATCATCCCTGCAGTACAGTCGGGTATTGCAATGTTGTGGCCTGCGGCATGGGAATGACAATAGGTACCCCACGTTTCTAACTTAAATATTTGACTTATAGGGATACTTATTTGACGTAGAAGATACGCATCAACATTTGTCCTTTTCTCGTTACATTTGAATAAATTGCTGCAGGAGGTTGTTGAAAAAGACGCATGAATAATGCATAATTTGTCGATGGACAGGTCAGGCTCGGCCCGGGGATGAGTTACGGTCCTGCACGGATGCTCGGCGGCGGCGGCGGCGGCGGCGGCGGCTATGAATCGTGCTGGTGAGGTACGAGTGGGGAGCGGGGACCGGTGCCGCGTGGGCGGCTCGCTGCACGACTACGACGCTCATTCCCGCCGGCGGCGTCGGCCTCAGTCGCGTCGCCATAGCCGTCAAGTTCGCAGCAGTCAGCTCCCGAAAGAGCCGCAACTCGGCGCCGCACACGATACCCTCGCGCTCTACCAGGTTCCCAAGAAGTCACATCCCAGCAACAAGTGGACAACGATGTCGGTGACTTGACTTCTTCGCGGACGATGTGGGCAGTGTGGGCCTTGTGGGCAGGCCTTTGGGCAGCGGCTGCGGCCACTCCGCAACCGCTTCACCTCGAAAGAGACTCTATGAGGCGGCAAGTACCACTTCCTGTTACCGTATGGCAAAAGAGGCACCAGGCGGCTGCTGTACAAGCTGCGGCTGTCGCGCCCGACGAGCTGAGGGATTTCCAACACCATTTGGACGCGGTTAATTCGCAAATGATGCTGAGGTCACCCAGGGGGGAACGACAGTATGATGTACCACAAATTGGTAAGTTTATCTTAATTATAATCTTAATTATACCTATTGTATTCCTAATTTTATTTATCTTAATAATATACAATTAATGTTTTAAAGTAAATATTAAATAATAAAAAATATTATTAGTAGATGCAGGAGGTAAAAATATCTGTAATAAAATAATTTTAAATGTATTATTATTATTAGTGTTAAAATGGAAATAAAAGAAAAATAATGTATAATATATACATTTTAATTTGCTAATATTAAAAATATTTTTTTTGAAATCTAATTTTATTTTTTTTTGTAATTTTGTATTACTGACAAAATTTAGATTATAAAAACAAGTTAATTTATTTAGTTTAATAAAATAATATTTTAATTAAAATTTTAATATTTTAATAAATATAATTATGTCATATACCTATCAACAATTTTATTATTCTTGGTATAATATTACAAATATTCCTATAATTTATAACAAAATATTAATTCAATTAAACAAATCCTCAAAAGTCCTATTATTAAGGTTTTTAAATTTTCATTTAGTATCTATAATTTAATATATCTGTTAGAATATATTTAATATGGATTATAATGCAAATGGATTATATTCGTTACATTCTACTATTCCGAGCATTATAAATTTTACTACAGTACTGTAGTTTTTAAATTCAAAAATATTTGGACATATTGTATCTTAGGAATGTACGTTATTTCCATATCCCAGGGGTAGACAGAAAACGAAGTACCTACCTACATGCAGGAAAATTTATTCATTAAATGAAATTCTTATATTACAAATATGAATGAAAATGCGTTCGTAATATGAAAATTGTGTTTTACTCTATATTAAAATATTTATATTATAAGTCATCTTTGCAAAGAACAACTTTATACAATTTTATGATACGAGTAGTATCTACTAATTTAATTCTTCATAAGTAACTTATAAATGCGAGAATTAATCTATAGGGAAGTAAAACGAAACAAACCGGCATATTAATATATCTACCTTCATTAAAGAATAAATACCATTTCTGAAGCGGAAATGTTCACGAATTATTTATCCTGAATAAACAAGCTTTATTACTATGGGGTACTGAATATTCCGCGATCTCTCGCCGGCAGGATTTAATTTAAAATTTAATTTCAGATGAGGAAAATCAATTAGCACATTATCCTTTCAAACAAATTTCGAACGAAGGGTGTATTAACAGGTTAAATTCAGTTCACAAGCCCCACATCAATTTTGTAAAAATCTGTATTGGCTTAGTTGATGACCTATTAAAATTTATAAAAATTTAAAAATAGCGTTATAAACGAGTTTTGTCAAAATTGCAAAATGCAGCTCTTTAATGAAATACTTCAAAGAAGTACAAAAGTCAATATAACTTGACGGTATTTTTAGGTACATTTATAAAAATTCTCTATTCACTTTTTTTTAATAAGAAGGTAGTTTTGTATTCAAGAGAAGCAAATTCCAGACGCATATTTCGTCGCAAACTACTCGAAAAGTCTCCTTTTAAAGGACTTCCTCGTTTCTAAAAATTCTCCGGGAATGATTCATGCCGTTCGCTTGTAACGTTCTCGAGTCTTCCAAAGCAATAACAATTAAGGATAACCTCAAAGAGCGTCGTTTTTGCGAAGAATAACCGTCCGTCGCTATTATAAAATGTAGTAAACAAACAAATTTAGCGCACTCGCTGGCGGCCATAACTCTCGGCTTGTTGTGTAATTTACTATAGTAAAACGTCCGGCACAATTGTACTTAACCAAAAATCAATAGGTCGTTTTTCTCTTAAACCAGTGACGTACGTGTCTTCGAATAATCTCTTTGTAAAATAGAAATAAATTACCTTTTTTTTGTTTCAATACTTCAAATAATTTGATTAATTGAATAGTTGTATCTAATTGGTTGCTATCATTATCTTCCACAATTGAATTTGTCCAGACATTAAGTTTTTTTTGCTTTAGTGGTTCAATAAAACTTTTTTCTTTCAACATTTGATTAGGTTTTGTTCGTACTTTTTCAACTCCATTAATTATAATACTGAATTCATAAATAATTGAGTCAAGAGGATCTTTCGTTGAAAACAATCCTTGTCAAAGCAATTGCATTAGGACTTCTTTTTCGACTCGTTTCTCGCAGATCCTCAGTAGATTAATTAGGCAAATACTCTCAGAAATTTGCGCTTTCGGATTATTCCGAAGGCTCTTCGAGCTCAATTATATCTCATTATCGTTTTTAAAAACATCCTCTAAACCGTCTGCTCTTTGCCTCTCTATAAGGCCATTTTAACATATCGATGCAATATTTTCCGCCGAAAACCTGGAGGCAGTCCTGGTGCGGGGAAAATCCTAACAAGTTCCTCGGTGTCTTGGAAAAAACAAACTCGGAGACGAATTTTTATATTCCACGTAATTTACAAGATGAATAATGAGCAGGAAAGAATGGTATTTTCGAAAGCAATTTTTTTCCATTATTCCCACGACCGGCTTTCTAATTTGCCTGAACCTGAATTTGATAATATACAGGATGTATCACAAACACGACAATTTTGTGTTTTATTTATAGTTGAGATATCGATGAATATACATAGCTAGATTATTGAAAATCGTCCAATAACATTATACTACAATACCTAATCTAATTTGGAATTAATTATAGTTCTGTTCCCACACAAACTCCACCGTACGAGCGACTGAACTTGGAATCAACAAGTTAATTAAATGCTTACTTCGTACAATAATTGTCAATTTCACCTGGATGACCTCTGTTCATTCTACGTTCACATTTACTTCGCTAATTAGTTATTTATCCCAGGTTTGAGTGAAACTGTCGATAAATCCGGGGACGCAAAACGTTGATTTGACGTCCGTGCAATTATTTATCAATTTCGCGCATTAAACCGGATCGCCACGTTTCGCTATAATTTTAGGGGATGATAAATCTGGCACTTTTTTTGTCCGGCCGTGAATTATGAGTTGTTGAAAACGCATTCGCACGTACGCAGAAAAACTAAAAATACCCCGTGACGTTTTTCTAACGATTCGTATATAAAATAAAAATTCTGCGGTCGGGGGCGAAACTCTCTTCGGTAACATCCCAGTTTTATCGGGTTATAATTTTTTTACTGCTCGCGTTATTACCGCTCCCTTTTTATCAGACTCCATTAAATAAAAACGAATAGAGAGAAGCGCCTCTAACTTTTAATAGTCGTTCGACTTTGATGTTCATTGTCGCCATAAATGAATCATAATTAGAAGTAGTTAACAGTTAGCTTTAATCCGCTTAAAATGTTTCCAGGATCCGCTATTCCAATCCGCCACCTACAAGCTTAATTCGATTGATTAAATTTATTTACACAAGTTCATTGGTATTATATCTATTTGACGAATTTATTCCGTAAAAAATATAGTGATTGTTTATATTATTATGCACACAATTATAAATTACAATACTTCAAAAACAAAATATATAACTTAGTGTAAATTTGTAGTTACAGATGATAATTATCTTTATTATCCCAATCTTTTTATCGTTCATTTTTTTCTGTATTATTTATCCAGTCATTTTCTCTAATTGTTAGCACTGCTCTACAGGGCATATTATTATTTCTAAAAATAAAACAACCTTATTTCATTTTGTTAATTCACTCGCCTACACATTGTGAATTCGAAATATGTTTTTCTTCTCTAATTCGGTATTCTGCAGAAGCGAGGCGTGTACGAACAATTACAGTGATGTTATTGAAAGTTAAAACTTTTAATGCATTAGAGGTTTTCCGAATTAACGTCTCGAAGTTAGGTAGTTTATATGCAGCAAGTGAGATGTACAAGAGCAAAGCTGTTTTAATTGTTTTAAGGCTGCCTGTAAAACTTCCTAACGCAAGTTTCCCATTGATGTCTAACTAGTTCTATTCAATGTACGCCTTAATCTTACATAACAAGTTTTTTTATTCGGATTACTCTAATAGGATTTTAATCATTATAAGCTTTATATGCACTGTATAAAAATAGGTACAAATGTTTGTGTACTGAAACGAAGCGTAGGTAATAAAAAAGAGCAGCAAACAAATGCTATAATATTCTAAGCTTTCGTTTAGAGAAAATCACGGAAGTACGTGATTTATCTTCAGTCGGAGGTTTTCCAGGGAAATCCATTTCCCCGCTATCCGAGCCTGACCATTATTAATTCCCGCTTCACTCTGTTTCAAGTATCCGCTTTATTCGGCTCAAATTTTTTCCTGCCAATGGGCGTAAATAACGATTAAAATATTAGTATCGGGCTTTTCGGGTCGATTTTTGTTTGCTTTTTTATCTAAACGATCACGAACTTTTTATGCGCCATTTCATAAATACCCCCCATACGGATGGTAAAGCAAACATTTATCGATTCATCCTGTAGGGTCAGACGTAGACCTAAAGTTTTTCTAAAGCCTCTTAACAATAACAAATAAATTAACACTTTTAACACACACCAATCACTCGAGCACTCCTTTTGAGAATAACTAATGGTTGCGAATGAGTTCGGTGTAGGAAAAACTGGTCTGGGAAACAACGCAAATGCTCTCTTGGAAACTTGATTAAACAACCAAATAAGCAAAAAATATGAAGATGGAATGGGTTGCTAATTTTTTACTTTTACTAACAATTTTTTTTGGAAATTGTATCAGGGCAACGAACTCCGCGATTTTTCGACGCCGCTGGTGCGGGAAAAACGGGAAAAACTCGAAGCGGTTCGAAACTTAGTTGATATCTTGTTTTTGACACAGATAACATCGATCCTCTTAATGGCCAATGAATTTTATCGAAGAAAACCTTATTTGTGAATCGCTGCAGCTCTTGCAGGATTACGTTGAAAGAGCATTATCGTTATACCGATTGTGCTGTTAGCAAAACGCTCGGATTTGTAGGTTCGTTTTCAAAAATTGAATTCCGTAATTGAAATAACGGGAAATATGTTAAGGGATAGAATCCGTTTTTCGCGCGGCCATAATTTTATTCCCTCCAATTTGCACCCGATGAAAATCGTTAATATCAAAGACAAATAGAAGGAAAAGACACCACAGAATAAGGCATTTTTTTATTTGTGTAAATTTTCATAGGAAAATCATGTTATAGAACTCAATTTAACAATCTCTATTCTCGATTTGAATACAATTAAATTTGTTCCAAACTCTATTTTATATAAAATAAATTCCATTTAAACTTTATATACATTTGCGTCTATATAAAGAGAGTTTAATGAATATTTTCTAAATTTATTTACTCTTAAATTACTCAATAAGGCTAAAAAGAGATTAGGTACAGCTTCAGTATAAAATAAAATTTATTTGAATTTGATTTTAACAACAATTTTCAAAGTTAATTGCTTTCTTTCCTACATTATTTATGAAGTAAACGATTTTATTACATACCATAAATTCATATCTGTCAACAAAAATAAATAACGCGAATGAACGTTAACTTGTAATTCAACCCCTTATTTCCGTAATCTTGCTAGCGGGTGAACAGTAGAAACCTAAAAATAGCCGTCTTATAGCCAACATAAGAGGAATATTAAGGCATTCTCGACTTAAAATATACGTGTAGCGTGTGTGATAATGAATTCGCGGGTAATGGACTCGTTTCCGGGAATTAACCGACATTCTCGAAGGGCCACAAAGGCGGCCTTTATCAGCGCAAGGGTGCGAGCTGCACGCCTGTAAAAAAGGCAAAATATTCCCGCGAAATCGCTCCAATATATGCAGAAAAATGTAACCGGTATAATTTTTTATTTGTACACGGTTTTAAAAATACGTTACTGTGACGTTCGAATTTTTTACCCTTCGAAATACAGTAAAAAGTAACGTCCAATGCGAAATTTACGGGACATTACCTACTCAATTACAAATAACGAAATGTATATTTTCAAATGGATGAATTATTAACGAGATAAATTTCAATTAATTAATTTGAGTGTTTATGTACCTATATTATTTCAACAAAATAATTATCCAGTGACGTAGAAACTATAAGGATGCAGCCCTTAATCTAATACTAACTGGTATTTAAAAAAAGGAATAAAGTTATTGAAATAATTCAAATAATTATTAATTTGTCCCTGCATCAAAATTTAATAATTATCCAGTGCTGTCTATGGTAGAAATTGATTAATCAACAATAGTTAAAATCAATAATACCTACACGCCTCTAATTTCGTGAATTATAAATACTAATTTACACGATACTAGGCATCGGAATTGGTTATTTGATAACCGAATAAAAAAATGTTATCCTGCTTCAACCGCCGTATTGTGGACTGTTTGTACAGGATTTTACCTGTAAATATTTTAAATCGCCGCCCCGGGACGTGTGCTCGCGAATTACCCAAATGGAATTTACATGCATTTAGAGTTAATTATGGATGCTTTTATTTCGTATCACAAAGTGGAAAGCAAATGTTTTCACAGTGCTTTCGAAAAAAAAATGATTATGTCCTTCACTGAAGTAGAATTGAATGAGGCCGAATTTCAGTGATAATGATCACAGTAGGTATAATTTAATTTGAGCTGTAGACATACATCAAAAGAAGCAGTTATGCGCCGGTGAGCTTCAGGTGTGTATGCACCTGTTGATAGCTGAGAAATAGATATACAATTTTCTGCATTTTTTTTATTAAAGTATCTTCGTTACTCGTTACTGGAGTCGTATAAAAGGCAAATTGCCGTAGACGCGTTGCGTTTATGAGATTCGTTTGTGCATTCACATATACGACAAACGAGCTCCCGGGGGCTGCTCGGTCCCTGAAAAATAAAGTGGCACATTTGAAATATGCACATAAACCTACATGTACATCTGAAGTTTTTATAAGTCTGCGTGGAATTTATACGCTATGACTCTTCAGCCGAACGTAACCATAAAGCATTCGGATTTCAGGCGGTTTTTTTCTCCTTCTCTCCTACTTATTTGCACTTATTTTCCCCGGTATACCCGACGATATTGTTTCTGGGAACGTTGACACGATAGAATCGAATGGAATCCGTCTAAATATAAACCCGATACTCTTGCGGATGACACGAAAATGCTTTTGTTTAAATATTTGATATGACAACGGTTTATAAATAAAAGCACACGAGTTTCTTCTTTGTCCGTATACACCAATTACTTAAAATTATCTTCGCCTAAAATTATCTTCGGGCACGATACTTGGCAAAGTGTATACATTTTTCATTGGCTAAAATCAATGGTATTGCGTCAAGCTGTACAAACTGATCAATAATGATGACGAATTCACTTTGTACGACTTAAAAGGAAATACGAGCGACCGCGAATTTACGAGCCTATTTTTTCTACTCATTCAAGTTTTTTAGGATCTTTTGTATAATAAGATATATCGCACAAAGTCAACCTAAATACCTGCGCATAAATATTTATTTCAACTATATTCCAATTTGCATCTGCCTGAACGCACCCTCTCAACTTTTCTAATAAGTATTCCGAGCATTCTTTTAATCTCATTTTCGCTTCAATCATAATTTTAAATTATTTTACTTGCGAAACTTTTCGACAGACATGCAAATACTCCTGCCTATCCCGCTAGAAATTTAATGGAAGATTCC